TCCCTGGCTGGGGATAGAGCTTGTGCTGCAGTGGCTACAGATAGCTTCATAGGTTGCATCTTAACCCCTTGTGCCACCAGGGAGGCCCTAATTTTTAAGTTCTAAAACCTGAGTTGTCACAGTGCTTTTCTGAGATGCTGGAGTTTTGCTCTGAGCTACTCTGTGAGAGCTTTTCACAGAGCATTTTTAAATAATAGCATCATTTCTCTAAGATGCCCAGTATGGAAAGTATTTTCCTGGAGTGTTTATACTTACAGACTAACAGTTCGAATGGGGAGACAATCAAGGTAAAACAAATGACGCTGTCATTGGGAAACCCTTTCAATTATTTGTGGTTCCGAAAAATTGATGGCAAGATAGGTAATATGAAACAGCAGGAAAGAACAGGGTCCTTTGGGTCAAACAGAACCAGGCTTGGGTCCCCTCTAAAGCTAAGAACCGTGTGACCTTGGGTAAAGCACTTCCTCTCATCAAGTCTGTGAAATGAGGACAAATACAGCATCTAACATTTGTTGATTACTTTTCATGTGCTGGGCACTGTGCTAATTATGTCACATGTTTTCATTATCTCATTTCAGCCTCAAAATAATCCTATGAGGCAAACTATTAATATCCTCGTTTTACAAATGAGGAAATGGAAACTCAGAAAGGTTGAGTAATTTGTCCAAAATCACAGGGCAGCGGAGCCTGTAGCTCAGTGCCGAGTCTGGCTGGCTCCGGAGACCCAGCACATCAACACACGTCACGCTGTGTCCCTGGAGTGGCGCTCTCCTTATCGGGCGAGTGGCGAGGACGCTGAGATAATGCATGCAGAGAACACGCCTGGCACAGAGTTGGTGCTGTTATTCTTATTATACATTTTTCTCATGACATATTACCAAGCGAATTTGCATAGCCCTTTTTTACCAAGCTCACCGGCATAGTGACTCGATGCTTCATGGTATCATGTGCAGTGTTATGAAACGGTGGCTCCTGAAGGTGGCAAGGCTTGGCCAAGGTCATTCCGCCTCTAAGCACACTGATGCAGGAACACAGAGCCTTTCACTCCAGAACCCAGGAATTTCACCTTGCCTGATAATCACAGGGGAGGGGTAGCTATATTTTATTATACTTTATGATTAGAAGAGAGAGCTATTTTCAGAGGAGGTGAGTTCTGATCTTGCCTGCCTGGAAATTGCTACTCTATCTTGGTAAGTCTGGGGATTTATTTCTTAATTTTCTGCTTGATTCTCTTCTTTATGTCGTCAGACGACTCACCTTCCAGAAAAGTGAAGGAGAGAGAAGACTCCTGTCCAACTCCACAGTTTTTTCCTCCACAGTTAAAAGTCCATACAAGTAAATAGGTATATTAGATGATATCTGGGTTTTCTAAGGTAAATTGGTTTGGTTAGAAGTTTGGGAAACGGTATTTTGCCCCCTCACAAAAACCATGTTTTCAATGGAACTTAAGCCCTCTAGCAAGCTCACAGGACCCTGTCATGAGCCTGCCAGGTGCAGGGGAAAGGTAATGCCGGTGAGGAAGATGAGCTAAGTGTCTGTTCCTTCCTTTAATTCCAGACTTGCTCCGGATGAAACCTCGAAATCAGTAATTTTCCTGGTAGTATCTCTTCACCATCTCAGAGTTGATCCCATGTGCTAGTGCCCCCTTACCTTTCTTTTACTCTGAACAGCCCCTAAACGAGGCCTGCCTTATGCCAAAGAGTCTCCTAAATTCTGAAACTACCTGCCTGCCTCCCTTAGTCTTTCCACCTCACCCTCTAATCTAAATGGCCAGTGTAAGGGAAAGTAGCCTAGTAAACTAATTCACACTAAAATGTGAAAGGCTGATTTTTCTTACCCCCTCTAGAGGTGTTTGCATTTTTATAAGATTAGTAATAATGCAAGTGAAGTTGTAGGTGGTGGGAAGTTTAGAAGTGAAGCAAAATGAAGTGAAAAAGAACTATGAAGTAGAAGTTATTTTGGAAGAGCTCTGGCATAATATGGGTGGGTCAGCACAAGAAGGGGTTTTTTTGGCTCCAGCCCTCGATGCCACCACCTCCTCGAGGACAAACACACATCTCCTCAGTTACCGTGGCTTCTAATCTTTTCCTCATCATCTGGACACCTATTAGAATGATAGCGTTTCAACACTGAAGCGGGTTCTAGAGTTAATGTCATGATCTCACTTTATAATTGAAGAAGGCTCAGCCACCAAGACCCAGTTCGCACACTGATGGGTGGCAGAGTTTGGCACCAGAATCCAGTTCCAAGGACCTGGAGCATGTTCTTCTACACGCCACGCTTAGTATTCAGAAGTCCTATGAAATGAGCTTAGACACACTCAGCTTTCACCTTGCTCGCTTATCCACTTGGATTTTCACTTTTCTTTGGAGTTGACAGGTGCAAGCCATCGTGCTGGAGGGAAGATAAGCTGAACTGGTGGTCACCCCAAAACGTTCTGCTGCAGAAGTTGGGGATTCTCTGTCCCCTGTGGGTGGGACCATGGAGGATTGAAGTCAAGGCTGTTTGGGGACCCAGAAACACGCTTTCTTCTTCACTAGCTACTCAGGGGACATGCATGAGATTCAACAACACGTGTGAAAAATCTAGGACGGTATTGCCTCTCCCCTTCCATTGGAGACACCCCCTTAGCGGTGCGCAAGAGCTTGGCCTCTGGAAGAACAGGCAGACGGGACCTCATCCAGCATTCCCTGCTGGGTGACCTTCGTACATTCTAGAAACTCTGTGCATCAGCTTCTCCATCTAGCAAATGGGGGCATTAAATAGTTTACACCTATGGGCTGTTTGCTCTCTGTGAGGGCTTGCTAAGTGTGGCCATCGCCACCATTATTGACCATACCTTGTGGCTATTATTACTTTGCTTTTAAAACTTTTTTTAAGGAAGGCATGACTTCCTGGTCTGAGCGCCTTTCACCATGGCTGGCAATCTGTAAATCACCCCAGGTTATGCTGACCCTTTCTAAAACTCTTGTCAAGCAGACCTCATTGTGTGTGGTGAGTCACCAGCACTTGGAAGTGGACACTGAGTCAGTGGGCTGTCAAAGGGAGGTCAGAGGGTCCCTGGGCTCAACGTGAGGCCAACCTGCCCCCGGCACTGCAGGAACAAAGCACACGCAGGGCTGTTGACTTGGGCACCGTGGGAACCTGGGAACCGGCTCCTCAGGTTGGGGAACTTGAAGTGCTGGGAGATGCCTGAGCTCTGAACCCACAGAGACCGGACTCCGATTTCAGCTCAGCCCACCCTGCTGTGCGAGCTCAGGCAAGTTGTTTGCCCTCTCTGCGCCTCGCTTCTCATCATCTGCCACTGGTGATGGTTTTAATAGAAATGACTTCATGGGATAAATGCCTGGGGAAATGTTGACAATTACATAAATACTCGATCCACAGTAATCATGGCTCTTGCTAGCACCACTGTCATGATCTTTAGCAGTAGCAGGAGTGGGACAGACGGTTCCAAGGGGCAGACACGGTGGAGAACCGGGGAGCGCTGGCCGGACCAGGCGTGGCTTCGAGGTGGTGTTTTCAGTAGTGATTCTTCGTTTCAGTGTACAGAGTCATGGTTTATCCCTTCTTGCACTCTACGAAGGGGTGAGCGATGCATGTTCAAGTCATTTCCATGCTGGAGAGGAAGATTCTGAGGAAGAGTGTAAGCAGCCTGCGTGCAAAATCCCAGAGCTGGTTAGGCTGCGGGCAGGCGCTGGGCTTCTGGGCTCGCTCCAGGACACCCGCCCCGGCGTGCCAGGCCTGACTCCACACATGCTAAAAATGTGAATGTCACACATTCATCCTGAGTCCTTGATCTCAATTGGCCCTTCTGGTTTCCTGCCATCTGCAAATCTGCACCTCCTTTGTGTTTCTTTGTGTTCACATTTTATGCCTGTGCCACCTCATTTACTTCCCATGTTTCAATCTCTGCGTTTCCATTTTTCTTTTTAAAAAGCAGTGTTTCTCTCTCTCTCTCTCTCTCTCTCTCTCTCTTCCCTCCCTGACACCCCCACCTTCTTCCTCCCTCCACACCAATCAAATTCCTGCTTGTTTCTTGCCATATTCATTATCCTACCTCATTCCCCCTCATTCCTAGAAAACAGCTCACAGGCTCACCCTCCCCCAGCCCGCAGTGCCCAGCCTCCCTCCATAAATCGCAGCAGCCTGGCGATCGGGAACTTCGGCATCACACTTCACAGCTCAGAGTTTACACTACTTGTTCCTACTCTCCCAGCTCCTGCTCTCCAGGGTTTCTCTCTCTCTCTCTCTCTCTCTCTCTCTGTGTGTGTGTGTGTGTTTTAAAAAGGCTCCACTTTAAAAACATCCTGGGCACAAGTTGAACCCACAGCGAAGTTTACTTGCACATTTACACATTTCATGGTTTTCTTTTAACTAGTAGCTCAGGTCTACGCTCAATTACGCAAGTGAAGAAAGACCAGATCCTCAGGGAACACGTTTCTCTCTACTATAAAGAAGAGAAGCCAAACATTCAACCGAAACCGGGGTCCTGGGTGCACCCACTCTCTCCACGCGCCCCCCAGCCCCAAGCTGGTGGGACTTTGCTTTTTCCTTTGTGGGGTCATTCCTCGCCCTCTGCGGAGCGGCCTGCCCCGGGGGTCTCTGCACACGTGCGTGGCCGCTGCTGGCTCTCCAGAGGGCTCACCTCTCTTCTGCCATTTTACCAGGACACAGGAGGCGGCTTCGCTCTCCCTGCATTTCTGTCCCTGCCCCCAGCTCAGCCTAGCTTTTTCCTGTGTAACTCCACCATACAGCAGCAACTAGCTGAGCTGCTGCTTGCGAGCGAGCGAGCTAGAGAGAGAGAGAGAGAGAGAGAGAGAGAGAGAGAGGCTGCATGCAGCTAGGCCAGGCCTGCAAGCCTGCCTGTCACTGGAGAGTTTTAGTTTGCATTCAGAAGAAAGGGGGAGGAGAAGGTGGAGGGGACCAGTGGGGGGGCCACGGAGAAGGGAGGGAGAATGTCTTGTTTGTGGCTTGTCAGCAATTGCTGGAGACAAGCTTCCATGTGTGAAAGCTACTTGGCATGAATGCCTGGGCCGTACCAAGTGTCAGCGCAGCGAGGGGGAGTCAGAAGAAAAACAGATCAGACCAGAGCAGACAATAGGCCCCTAAAGTGTTCCCCCTAAGTTGCTTTGATGTTGTCCTAGTGTCTTGATACCGGGAGGCCAGGGATTGCAGGAAAAGGGTCTTTTTTGTTTCATTCACTTTCCCCCTCAGTTTCTGAAATGATTCTCCAGAATTTCTCCTCATAAAAAAGGTAAGAGCCCCAACAATCCCTTCCTCGGCGGCAGGCGGGCTTGCCCGTGCCTGGAAGTGGGGGTCTCGCCCCTGCTGCTCAGGGGGGGCGCGGGGCTCCTGCTAGTGGAGCTCGCGCCTCGCCCGCCCTGCAAGTCTTCCAGGGCGCGGCTGGGGCTGGCCCCTCTTTCTAGGGAACCCCAGGAACAGGATCGGCGCCTCCGGGCTGCTGGGGGAGCCCGAGTGGATGCAGAGGGTGGGAGGCGGCCGAGCGCGCGAGCGAGAACCGGCGAGGGAAGCCGGGGCTGGAGGCGCGAGGCGGAGCCGGTTCCGAGCCGGCCCGGAGCCCCAGGCCCCGGGAGCGGGCGGCGGGCCGGGGTTGGGGGGGCCCCGCGGGCGCCCCGCGATGCAGGAGCTTTGTGTGCGGAGCGTGTGCGCGCGTGTGCGCTTCCCACGCGCGGCCCGGGGCGCCTGGCCGCGCAGGGGGGCGCGCACCCCGAGCCCCCGCACCTGAGCCCCGACTCTCGGGGAGGAGCGGCGGGCCGGCGGGGAGGGGGCGCGGGGAACTCTGCCGCCAGGCGAGCCAGAAACTTTTCCAGCCCCGGGGCTGTCTCCGGCGGCAGGCGCTGAGCGGGAGTTGCGGGGCGCCCCGGGCCTCGGTTTCCCCATCTGCAGCACCCGGGGGGTCGGCCGGGGAGGCTGCGCGCACCCCGGGGCTGGGCCGCGCAGAGCGCAGGGTTCTGTCCAAAAGCGGGGAGAAATCCTCCGCCAGAGCCTGCGGAATCCGGGCAAGTGTTATCATTATTCTTGATCATCCTCGTCGTGATAATAAAACCATCATTTAAGACCCTGGAGACAAATAGACCCGGGGACACAGATCAAATGTCTGCGCATTTCTAAGGGAACAAAAAGCCTTTTTCCACCTGTTGGCTTCTGTCTTTTTCTCTTGTGTCTTTTCGTGAGATTTATTGGCCGATTTGTCCAGAGAATGGGGTGGGAGGCGTCGGGTTGCCCGGTCCGCCTCCCTCGGACATATTTTTTTTAAAAAGAAGGTCAATGTGAGATGCTCGGGAGGGAAAACGTGGCTCCCGGGAAGAGGAGTTTCTTCCGAGCTTGCAGACACATCTGTAAACTCTACCTTGGAGGTTAAAGATTTTTATTGTGGCTTTGAGAGATTAAATGAGATTTATTTACAATTGCTGTTTATCAGAGAGTAAATACCTCACTGTGGGTGTGAGGGGAAGAATGTGCAGCCTGTTTACTCGCCCGGCGGTTTGTGGATAAAACCTCTTGCTTGTTAAAGTGACATCTTGAGAGATGGGAGGAGAGGGCGCAGATCAGGGTCTAACATGGTCGTTCTTTTTTTTAATTTTAAGAAAAACGCGCTTGTTTCCTTAGATGGTGGATTTTCTCGCCTCTCTTCTTCCACGGCGATTGTTTCAAGGTTCTCAGTTGTAGCTCTCTTTGAATTCTCTGGGGGCATTTCGCTTTCTTACCTAATTCTAGGTTTTCTGTGACTCTGCTACTTGTCGAAAAAAATCTGTAAGCGCCTGGGAGGCTGTGCCTTCTCCCATTCTAACTGCAAATGTTTATCAGGCTGACTGCCCGTGACAGCTAGAGATGGAAGCAGGGGCTGTAAGAATATGAGGATATTTACGTCCTTCCCACAGAGGCCTGGAGGCCCTGACTTCTGGGCGTGACAGAGGAAGAAGGAAGGATATTTATCGGCCTGGGTCTGACAAGAACCCCCCCCCCCCCCCCCCCCCCCCCCCCCCATCATGTTTCATTAGGACAGAGCTGTCCTGCCTGCCCATTTTAAAACTTAATTGCTTTCTACTTTGGAAGCAGAAGATCTCACCATGGTTTGTTTCTGGCAAGATTTTAGGGTCCAGATATCTTCCTAGCAGAACCACAAAGTAAAAGGCTATTTGTCAAGTTTTAAATGGACACATGGGGACGCGAGGGCCCAGGTAAGAGCCCCAGTAACATGAGGCAGCTCCATGAAGCTGCCCTGGCCTTCAGCCACAGCTGGGGTCCCCGGCCCCGCGGGTCACCTTGCAGGCCACCCTCACCTGGCCTCCACGCTCGATTTTTGCACACACTTGGGTCTGTCCAAGGTGGGCATGCTCAGGCCTGGTCAGGACACACGGCGCAAACTGGCCTGTGTGACAGCTTGATTTTGTGTGCGTTCACTCGTGTACTCACTTTTTATTCCACTTATATTTTAGGGGCATTTACTAGGCACCGGGCACTTTGTTGGGAATGAAAATGTAGGAAAGAACGAGGCAGATGCGCCCTTTGCAGTCTGCTGCTGTCATTAACATGAACCACATAGTTAAAGAAGTGAGTAATTATAACACTGATAACGTGTATCGAGTGGCATGCAGATACTAGAGTGAAGGACAGAAAGCCGTCTACCTAATTAACCTGAAGTCTGTAACTAGACAGAAGCTAACTGTGCTCGTCTCTTGGTGGCTGAGTTCTTGCCACAGCCAAGCCCCCGTGCACTGGCGCCACCCCACCACAGAATGCCCCAGCACCTCCAAAGACTGCGGAAGATGCTCTGTTTCCGGTGCTTTCTCTCCACTAACACAACGCGGCAGAGGCAGAGATGCTGTCCGCTAGCCATTTCCACCTGTCCTGTTACATAGCTTCACGGGAGTCACCAGCCTCTCTGGTCCTTATCTGCATGGTTCAAAAATTGGAGGAGACCAGTCGGGGCTCTGGAGTCCCTTCATGTGCCCCTAGTTCTTCCAGTTGATACTAAACACTTGGATGCAGAAGATACTCTTGTGCTTGCCATCTTGAAACCCCAAAGACAACAACAGTGTAACAAAATGGCTTTTCCTTCCCACCCCCCCAACAAGGACCCGTAGCTATAAAGAGAAAAATAATTCCGAAATCTCTTCCATGGTCCCACTTCGGAGGGGTTACTAAAGTCTTGCTGCTTTGAGGAGGCCAGAGCTAGGAACATCCCAGTCTGTCCAACGTGTGGCCTTACTTGGAGAGAATAAATGACTGCAAGGCCGGTCGTCTCCACGGAGGCAGATTTGTGTTCGTGCTTGTATCACCCTTTTCTGCATTGTGTTTTTCCTTTAGTCCTCAGAGGCGTGTTTTCTTCAGTGTTGTCAATCCATCTTTTCTTTTTTTCTAGATTAATTTAGTAGTTTGAAGCAAAGACAGACATGCCCACCCACACATAAATCATAGGTTTGATGCCTATACTTTGGGAACCCACACAGGTTGTGTGGTTAAGCCCTGTGATGAGTAAAATGAGAGTCACCGCTATGCGCGCGACGTTGTCACACACAACACAGAGGAGCACCAGCCGCTGCAGCAGCCCCACCCGGGCTGCCACCGTGATCTGCATTTGGCACCTGTGGCCACTGCCTCCTCCTGCGAGCACATGATGCCATTTGCAAGTGTTTGATCACTTCCGGCACAGCACCCCCCACTCCATGTGTCTGCTGCTGGAGCTGCCTCTGAAAGAGGCCACCTGAGTAGGCCCAGGGGGAGAGTATTCTGAAAGGGGGGTAAGAAGTGAACAAAACAGGGGCTGGTGGGCAAGGAAGATTTAACAGAACGAGGGGCCCGGGCAGCAGTGCTCTGGCTCATTCTTAACTCTGGGAGATTAAAGATGAAGGCTGGAGACTTCTAGAAGGTGCAGTGTGTGGGTCTGTGTATAAATAAAACTGTTTGTGCCTTTAGACTGAAGGTAAAGCCAGCTCAATGCACAGGACATGCCCCCAACTCAGAGGTTATTAGTGGCCTGTATGAAGTTTTATTAGAGAGAATTTTGTAGAGTTTTATGAGGCTCCTCCCAAGAACCCATATATAGACGATATAAAATGGAAATTTTCTCCATTTCTTTTAACCCTTGGCATCTGATGCACTTTCAAGTGATACCTTCTTAGCCCCCTCCTGTAACAGCCCTATGAGTTAATTAATATTGCCATCCTTCTGTTCCATTCGAGGAAGGGGGTGGGACTCAACCAGACACTCACAAGAAAATAAGGGGCAACACGGCAGGACGATTAATTCTCCCTTGTTGGGTCAAATCCCTTCAAGAGACAGGAAGCAAAGAGGCGAGGCGACCAGCACGATATTTAGGTCAAAGACACTGTGTTGACAGGGCATTAAAATAAATGCCTTAGCTTCGGTCCCATTTTTAAAGATTGAGATTTAAATGTTAATCCAAAGAAAGGGATTCCTGAATATAATTTAATGACTTTTTTTTGGAACAAAGTACGTTGGACCAGGTTCTGTTTTTGCCAGCCTTGACCTTGAACTCCCCATTCTAGGTCCTGGACTTCTGTGACAATGAGAGGATGGGACAGAATCGTCTCGAAGAGTCCTCCCAGCGCTGTTATTCAGTATTTCTCTGATTTTAGGAACAGGCTTTTCCATGAATCTGGTCTTGGCACCTCCCTATACAAGGCCCAATGCAAGAACCATGGTTACCAAAGGGGAAATAGGAGTTTTGTGGGGATTAGAGGTTTAGTCCTTACACAGTCATACAAAGTGTTGGCATTTTGAAGTGAAAAACATAATAGAAAAGAAGTGAGATTTTAATTTATGGATTTTAAGAGAATTTGCCAGTCAGCATGCAGGCACATGTGCAAGGAGACTAAAGAACCATTTTCCAAAGAATAGGCTGTTTTGAATGCATGTCTTCCTGTATGATAAGTAGGAATTTAAAATGGACGGGCGCTGGTACATCTCTGAGCTTCACTATTCTCACGTGCTTTTTCATAGAAATTGTGCTGTGTCTTTTTACATCCTGCTTACACATTGTTTTGAGGATGTGAGGGACCAGTTGAAGCAACTGGGGTGTTAACGCGACATGCTGTGTGTTTGATATTATGCTTTGGGGGGTGATGAGGAGACTGACAATCTTTATGACACACAACTCTTGCAGGTGCTGCTGGAGACTGTGACATGGTGTTCTGCGTCTGTGTGTGTGCGTGTGTGTGTGTCGTGTGCGCCTGTAGGATGTGAGTAATAAACTGCTCCTGAAATGTG